TTTATTATCATTTACTGTCCAAGATGAGAGCCTCCCCAAACATCGTAATATCGGGGAGCCGCAAAGGGTGGTAGGGAATCCATTTTTATGTAATAATATGTATTTTTTTATGTACCAAAAAAAAAGTTTAATTGTTGATAATCTATTATTACTATTATTACATTACTGGTAATATAACAATATTTTTTTAATAAAAGGTAACTTTTAATGATTTTATTATACACTAGTTGGTTGATAATACATGGATACAACAAAATTGAATAACAATTTTGTATAGTTTTTATAAATTTTTCCTATCTAGCGGTAATTCAATTAATGGATCATATGCTTGAATTTAAGTACAATAAAAGAATGGGTTCAGGTCATAAATGAATAAACATTTTTTTGCTTTTGCAAAACACTATTGTCATAAAAATATAATATTAAATAGGTTACAAATTATTAATTTTTATTTACAAAATACTGTTAAAATAATTGAATACGACTTTGTTTTATAGATCTTTAATTACATGCTTACCTTCTAATAGCATTTTTTTTTAAATAAATTGTGTTTAGTGAAAAAAAAAAACAACAACAATACAGGCAGGCAGGCAACAACAACAAAGTTTGTTACCCTTTTATATAATAGTTTGGGGAAAACAAAAATGTTAAAAAGTTCTTAATGAGAATAAAACATAAGAAACCTTCAAGAAACGCTTATGAAATTAAGTGAAAAATGTGTGTTTCTTTGCATTTTTATTGATTTTAAAAGAAAACATTAATAGGTTTTTGTTTTATTTTTGCTGAAAAGAAGAAAAATAAGAGCACGGGATAAGAAACTGGAAATGAATACATGGACTTTATAGAAAATAAATTACTAGAGAGGGTATGTCATTACCTTCCTCGATAAAGATAACCAAAAACCAACCTAATGACTAAAATACAAAGGAGTGGGCTATGACAATAACCCTAGAGACAAAACATCCAAACCCCCCAAAAAAGCCAATCAATTTTCTTGTTAATGAATTATTCATATGTGAAAAGACGTTTATGCCCCTCACCTGATGATGAGAAGAAGATGAATCTTGGAAACTGGAAGTTGAACCAGCTGAGAGAGATTGATGAAAAGCAGCAGCCATCCCCACATTCACTGGCCACATATTTGTGCAGTTTCCACATCTCACTGTCACTGTATCATACAAGCTGCTGCATGGAACACTCACCTGAACCATTTTTTTTTTCCAAAATCATCATTACGCATTTTAGAAACGACTAAAAAACAACAAATATTATTAGGTTTGGTTACTATAGAAGTTAGAGAAAACTAGGGTTCCAACATTCATACAAGCATACGTATATACCATTCTATTATCACGAACTAACAATTCAAGAATTTAATACAGATAACTTAGGGATTCCTTAGCTAGTAGTCTAGTATCTAGTTCAGTTACAACTGGGTAAAGTCGTTAAGTTAATTGCCTCTCTCGTATCTCTCTTTGAGTTATAAATCCCAAAACAAATTAGGGTTTTCGATATTTTTAAAGAAAGAGAAGGACGAAAGGAATTTTGCACCTTGTAAATATTCATGGGATAGCTATCACCAAAGTGAATCCATCATGGTAATATTATGTTTTTCGGGTCGGGTTGAAGAGTCTAAGAAATAACATCAAAACCCTACTTTCTTTTTTCAGTAAAGAAGCGAAAATTAAAGTGCTACCAGTTGCATCTAATGAACAGAACTTCGGAACTCATGCATTCAAGAAGATCAGTTTGGGGTTAGAGGACCCCTTTCTTTCTATTATAATTGTGGCAATTGAGTTGGTTTAGATATAGAAAATATATACATGCTCTCAAAGCGTTACAATAAAATGGTTTTTACTTTTTTCTCCCAGTACATGCAACTAGTCCTTGTTTCTGTGTGTCTGTGAACGTCAGTGTGTCATGTATACTTCGTCTGACTGTTAACAGAAAAAGATTCAAGAAAAAAGCCTTAAACGATGGAGACTTAACCTTCTGATCAGTCTGTATGTTTCTGAGTTCTCAAAGTGGAAAAAGAAAACTCCACTGTTAAATCAAATGACTCACATCATTGTTTTTGTTCATATACTTCAAGAATACACAAAACATATACACGCATACATCAAGAGAGAGAGAGAGAGAGAGAGAGAGAGAGAGAGAGGAGAGAGAGAAGAGAGAAAGAGAGAGAGAGAGAGAGAGAGAGAGAGAAGAGAGAGAGAGAGAGAGAGAGAGAGTACAGCGAGAACAATATTGCAGAAGTTGCAATGGATGTAACAAAGCTGCTCAGAAACTGCTGCCGCCGCTGCTACATCTGTGCAGGTGCTGCTGGTGCTTGACATAACTTTGATCAATAGAGAACGATTGTGTCTGTGTGTGTTTTGTTTGCTTCAAGTTAGGGCATGAACAGACTTGGTGCACTTTCTATCTTCTTTCTATATATAGAAGATAATGCGTTTATTTATTAAAAATTATTTTTTAGCTGTTGAAAAATAGAAAGATAATGTCTTAATTAATAAATAAAATAAAATAAACTGTTATTTTAGTTGTAATATAATAAAAAAAATTTGTTTAGAATACATTGAAAGAACACAAAGTGTGAACGCTCATTCACGGATGAAAGTCATGAAAGATATTCTCCTAATTCTCTTTTAATTTCGTAGGGCTAAGCTAGTATATTTATGCATATATAAAAACTTATAAGTTACATATAACTTTGTTGAACAATTATATTATTAATGTATTATAGATGTATCATATAAATTCAAATTAGTTGTGAGACTCATGTATTAGAGTTAATTTAAAAAAAAATACAAAGATCTAAATATTTAAGAACTTTAAATTTATAAGAAAATAAGAAAAATAATAAATTATTATAATGAAAATATTTTTTTATCTTTTAAATTTAAATAAGTAAACAAAAAAACTAATGAGTTTTAATTTTGAGAATTTTAAAATTAAAAGATAAATTCAATAATTACAATGATATCCATTTATTACTATATTTATAGTAATTATTACATTAAAATATTATGTGAAATTTAAAAAAATATAAAACCTATAAAATAGCACGTGGAAAAAAAATTAATTCAAAATAACTACAAAATAACATTTGACAAATTAAATAAAAGTATGACAAGTGATAAGAACCTTCATTTCTAGAATATATTGTTTTTCTCAGTATGTTTTGTACATACCAAACAATATATATATATATATATATATATATATATATATATTATATATATATATATATATATATATATATATATATATATATATATATATATATATATATATATATATATACACGTGCTAAAAAATAATTATGGTCGTAAAATGGACCTAATATGAACAGTATCCACAGAATTAGGAAAACTGGATTATGAATCAATTACCATCTTGATCTAATTGAATAGATCAATATTATGTTGTAATATGCGATCTTTACTATTAGTTTTCTCTAGTTTTAGTATTTTATAATTAACTAAATTATTAAATAAGTTTATTTAAAAAATTAAATATAAAATTTTAACAATTTAAAAAGTTTGAATTTATAAGAAAAATGAAAAAAAATTTGAATTATTAAAATTAATGAGGCTTTAATGTATTGAATACATTACATATATAAACAATTTTTAATAAATATCTTTATATATATATATATATATATATATATATATATATATATATATATATATATATATATATATTAACATACATATTAAATATGAAATTTTAATTTAATAAAATGAAAAATACAATAAAATGACAAGTGGAAAATAAAAAATTAAAAAATTCTAGAAAATGTTATGTGTCCAAATGAAGGAGAAGATGGCATGTGGAAAAAAGTTCTTTATTTATTAAGGAGAATGCTTTACAATCTTTTTATTCTCTTATTTTGGGGTGTAGGTGAGACAAGCCAACTCGCGAGAAACTCGAGACCAACTCGGAAAATACTCGAAATCGACTCGACCTTAATCGAGCCGGGCTCGAGCTAGAGCTACTCGAGTACCTTATCGAGTCGAGTTCGAGTACAAAAATACTTAGCTCGTAAGGCTCGCAAGGTTAGTCGAGCTTAGTATAATTTACATATATGTCATTTCTTTATAATTGTTCATTTATAAGATATATATCATTTCTTTATAATTATTCATTTATGACATATATGGTGGATATTATATTGATATTCGGTAATTAAAAGTGGTTTTTTTGATCATTTGGAAATTTACCTGTGGAATGTTTAATATTTCATACTCAATTTAGTGATTTTGATTTTTTTTTTAAATTTTAATCAAGCCAAGCCGAGCCGAGCTTGAGACTGTCGAGTATTTTACGAGCTCGAGCTCGAACTTAAAATCAAGGCTCGAGTCGAGTTCGAGCCGAGTTTCGAGCTCGAGTATTTTAGTCGAGCCGAGTTTCGAGCTTGGTAGTATTCGGCTCGATTCGGCTCGTTTACACCGCTACTCTTATTGTATTTTCCTTTACAAATAGCTCGGTAGAGATAAGACTGTATCCATCACACCACGATTTTATGAGATATGTGTATTGTTCATTTTGTTTGTTGAATTTATACAGTGCAATATATTCTATATTTATGTAGTTTATTGTACCAAAATGGCTCCAAATTCTAAAAGTGGGCTAAGCTTTTATGATTCTCCAATGATAGAGACTTGACAATGTCTATATATAGTAATGTGGAAATTCACCCATGTGATCGCGTTCACGAAAACATCGATTATCTATGTTTTACGTTAACATGTCCCAACAATGTTTTACAGATGGTCCGCATCTTAAAGAAACTTGGTTAATTAAATAAAACTAAATACGGGTTGAAAGAGCTATTACGCTCGAATCCATGTACCCAAGTACACAAGTCAAATCAGTTGTTAAGAAATCTACGCTAAAATGTGCTTTTAACCTAACATGTTCTAAAAGCAGTCTAATGAAGACGTGTTGTAATCAAATAAGTTAAACAAATCTGCAAACGATCGGTTACAATCGCATAAGGTAAAATAATATGTATATACAAGTTACGATAAGGAAATAACATAATAATTTAAAGAATATGTTTTGAGGACATTGACGAGTCAAACATATAAAATATTTGAGATCTCTTTTCACATATTAATAGTGACAACAATTCCAATTTTTTTAAAAGGTAGTTGCCGAAGCAAAGTTACGCTTTGTTCATGAGTTCTATTTAAGGAGGGATATGGAAGGATACCGAGGAAAACTGAGGGATGTCGAAGAAAAATCGTGTTCCCGAATTTCATTAATGAAAGGAAAATGAAGGGAGGGAAAGGATTTTTGAGTCATATTTTTCTTCCAAAATTTTCTCCCAAATTGAGCGGATTTGGAAAGAAAATAAAGGGAAGAAAAATTTGAAGTTTTATTTTATTTTTCCTTCTAACTCGGAAACACAAAAACTTAAAAATTTTCTTTCATTTTCTTCGAAATCTGGAACACGTAATAATGAATATTTTCATTCATCTCCCTTTCTTTTTGTCAAAATTTTCCTTCTCTTTCCATTTTTTTATTCCTTTGAACAGCAAGAAAGTTATCATTCCAAAGAAAACACTAGCAAGAAGCTAGAATATAAGACATTAAGACATTCAGCTTTCAGATCTATACACTAGTTATCCTAATTTAACATAAAACCTCTCCTAGCTCTAATTTTAAGCCAATGGAAGGCAAGAACCTTGACCTCGCTAACAAGAACATTGGTGTTCTTCGTGTTGTTGTGAAATACAATCTCATTCCTGAAGGTCCAAATCAAACAAGCAACGGCCAATAAAGGAACAAAAATATCGGAGTGTTCCTTTAGGTTATTAGCAACACAATCAGGAGTGAAAGACATGTTGAATCGAGGTCACAACAATAGGAAAATCGGTCCACCAATTATGAAGAGTAGACTGAACCTCCAAAGCAGTTGAGCAATCCATGAAAATATGACCTTATGTTTCCTATTTTGTATTGCGTAAGGGACATAGAAGAGAACCTACATTAACTCCAATGCTCTCAAGATTGGTTTGAGTTGGTAATCTACCTAACGGTGCCCTCCAAACGAGTAAATTAGCTTTTCCCGATGCAATTTTATTCCAAGCAGTCTTGAGCGGAACTTTGGTCAGAATTTTAGCACCGATAATCCTCCTAAGGGAGGAAACAGTGAATTTACCATCAAGTTCTCCACTTTTAATTCTGCTATAAAAAACATGTTTGCAAGGTGGATGTCTTGATTATCAAGTGCAAGGTGCAAGTTGCTAATGTTTCCCTAAATATCACATCTATTGGTAGTAGATCTAACATGACCAATTCCACCATCACTACCATGTATTGCTTAGATGACTTCTTTCCAAAGAGCGTATTCTTCATTTTTGAAGCGCCACCACCACTTACCAAGTAGAGCGAGATTAAGGGCATGAAGGCTTCCAATGTCAAGGCCTCCATTTTGCTTGCAATTCAAAACTTTTTTCCAAGTGATCCAGGTTGTTTTGTGGTTGTCCAACCTACCACCCCCAAAAAATTTATTACGAATACTTTCAAGGAGTTTAATCACTCCCAAAGGTGCCTTGAAGAGTGAAAAAAAGTAGGTAGCAAGGCTGCCAAGCACATTCTTATAAAGGATTAATATACCACCAAATGATAGGTTACATGCCTTTCACAATCAGAGCTTCTTTTGGAAATTTTCAATCACGGGTAGCCAAATCGGATTTCTAGACATATTGGCCCTAACCAACACTCCAAGATAGGAGAAAGGGAGGGACCTAATCCCACAATTGAGTCGGCAGGCCAAAGAGGATATATCTAGGTTGCTAACCCTAATACCCATCAACTTGCTTTTTGAAAGATTAACTTTTAGACCAGAGGCGATATGGAAACATCTAAGGATGCGGAGAAGATTAAGAGCATTCTCTTTGGACCATTCGCCAAGAAAGATCACGTTAATGTTATTGAATTTACAAAAAAAAAAAAAAAAAAAAAAAAAAAAAAAAAAAAAACCTCAGGAACAAGGCGTTAATTTTATTGATGACCACAACCAAATAAATAACATTGGAATTGCGCAACATACAGACTAAAATTGTTGGTATAGACAAGTCTAGTGTAACAACCTTCAATTTAGATGTACCGTGTGTACGAAATTATAAACGGGGTAAACGAAAAAGAAACACAAAATTAAGTGAAAAGTCGAGACATGTATATAATACAATGTTCTTAAAAATGATTCGTTTGTAATTAGACGTTTGTTTTTTCCATGACACGACAAGGAATAAGAGATTTGCAGCCACAAAGCCGCTATTGAGTGGGTGTAATTGTCTTGAAATTAATAGTCTCAAGGCAT